GGAAAGAGGGTATTGAGCACCACAGAAAAGCCAAGCAGCCCCCAATGGCATGTGAGCAGCAGGGGCTCCGCTATGCATAGCAGCTGTAGTGACCATTCATAGCAGCTGTAGTGACCTCCCAGGCTTCCTATTAAGTCAGCCCTAGAGACTCCCTGCTCCCTGGAGAGGGATGTTTACACTTTTCCTTGACAGGCTCTTTTGCAAGGAGCTGCCAGTTCAGTGCTGGCCTTTTATCAGCCAGGACACTGTAATTTGCAGCAGGCCTTTTTGTATTTCCTGACGGGGCTCATGGTGGCCTGACACGTTTGATCTGCCGCCACCAGTGGCAACAGGAGCAACCAGGCTGTGTGAGGGCCGGGAGTGAAGTATGAAGATAGACCACCCTGTGGCACTCAATCCCTAGTCCAGCTGGCAGGTGTAAATTGAAATGGCTCCCCTTGCCACATCGGTCACCTTTATTGTTCAGTGTTTTCTCTGAGAGGCCCAATGAGGCATAATAAAAACTGGGGGACTTTTATTTATGGTGCTTATCTGTGAAAAGCCCAGGCTAAAGTGAGTCCTCTCCCATTTTACTGCTTTTTCAATTTCTATTGAAAGGTGTAGTTAAACTCAGACAAGTTCATTTGATTATCTCCTGAAAGCAGCCCCCACCCCTCCGGCTCTGGAAGCAGTGCTTGGCAAAGCAAACGTCTGCATTTCCCCTGCAGGGTGAGTGTGCAAAGCAAGGGATGCAGGGACAATGCTACGTGCTTTACTACGTCACCGGTCCACTTGCAGCCCCCGAGTAATTTGGGGGTAGCATCTGCTAAGGTCAGTGGGAGTCAGGCTCTCTCATGCCAGGGCTGAATCCTAACTAGCCCTGATGTAGCCACCTCTGGTGTGGAACGCAGCAGCTGCACAACACAACAATGCTGCACAACACTTTAAGGCAGACAGCAAAGAACCTTGGACTGATGGGTGAAGTTAAAGAAGAATGGTATTATCCTTGCTGAGGTTTTGAGAGAGAGAGAGAGCGAGAGAGAGAGAGAGAGAGTGTGTGTGTGTGTGTGTGTGTGTGTGTGAGGTTGTGTGTGTGTGTGAGGTTGTGTGTGTGTGTGTGTGTGTGTGTGTATTCCTCAACTTTAGGGGCATGCCCTGTGGGATTTCAAGAGACATGGGAGGCCAGGACATGGGCTTTATGCCCTGCCTGTAAGATGATACCTTCCACACCAGTGGCCCATTGGGGTTCTCTTTGTGGCCCATGAGACACTGCTCATGTGCAGGGTTGCCGGATTCTGTTCATTTCCGGTCGTGTAGTATTTTTCCTACTGGTATCACTAAAGTGGCCCACATGTAAAGCAAGGGCACGTGAAGTGAGGTGTGTGCAGATTGCACATGACACTGTGAGAGCCCTACGCGCCCTCTGCAGCCAATCAAAGCGCTGCTGCGGTTCAATGGGCACCGCCTGCAAATTCTAGGGACACGTGTGCAGTTAGAAAAACGACCCCAGCCCGGGGGACCATCTTGCTTATGACAAACTTGCGGCAAATTGAGATGACGGAGAGCTGCTCATGTGGCCCAATCACTAGCCTGGGTGGCCCCTCATTGTCCTCCGCAGCACCGTGAGCCATTTCAGCAAAGGGAGATGGGGGTGGGTCTCTGCAGCAAGCAAAAGAGAGACCCTGTTTATCTGAAGTAGAGACCTTCACGCCTAAGGAGATCTGACTAATTCCCTGCCCAGAGCCTCTATGCTGGCAACACAAAGGACCCAGAAGCACAGGCTCAGCTCCTGGCTTTGCCCAAGTTCTGGCAGCCTCCCCTTCCTAGCGCTTCCCCCTCTCTACCTCATCCCGTTTGTGAGGATGGCAACCCAGCTGTGTTAGTGAATCCGGCTGGAGGGGTTCATGCCCTCACTGAGCTCCGTGAGATTTGTGGGGTTCTCACTTGGCCCAAGTGTCTCTTGGAGCCCTCCTGTCCCGATGACTAGGTTGCTGTAGCCTCCTGCCCCTAGTAAAAATGGATCTGGAGCAGTGGTCCCCAACCTTTCGGGGCTGCCGGGCGTCTGGGGGCGGGGCCGCTCACGTGCTGCGTGCCCAGGGCAAGGGCCGCCCATGCGCCACACTCCCAGGGCCGGCACCATGTATGTGCCGCATGCCGGGGGCAGGGCAGCCCAGATGATTCGGCAGGCGCACATAAATGCCCCGGCGGGCGCCGTGGTGGGACCACTGATCTGGAGCAAACCCGGGACGTGAGGGCAGCGAACTGATGTTCCAGAGTGTCCGCTCTGCCCACCATGTAATTCCTCAGGGAAGGGAGCTGGGGCATTACCACAGCATGAGGGGAAACGCATCCAAAGGGTGTAAGATTGTAATGCTGGGACTACTGAGTAATCCCGGGATTGGACTCCTTCACCATATGGAGCCGGGCAGGGGGCATAATACAATGAGACAAAGAGCTTTACTATTAGGTGATTCCAGAGCGGCCACAGTCCATCAGACACCCAGTTCAGTCATAGGTTGTTTCACTTAATGAGGCAAATTGTGGCTTGATTCCAACACAACCCTGGAAGTGTGGGGGTGGCCTGGCTCCAAAGGCCATTGCCTGGAGTATCAATGTTTGTAAAGCCAGGCCCCATAGTCTGGCAGCAGAAAGGTTTAACAAGGAATGATTTGGTCCCAATGCAGTGCCCAGATGGCCTGTCCTGGAGCATTCTGTTTGGTGAATTTCAATGTTGATAAATGCAAATTAATGCACATTGGGAAAAATTATCCCAACTATACATACAAAATGATGGGGACTGATTTAGCTATTACCACTCAAGAGAGAGATCATGGAGTCACTGTGGATAGTTCTCTGAAAACATTCAGTCAAAATGCAAACAATGTTAGGAATCATTACAAAAGGGATAGAGAATAAGACAGAGAATATCTTATTGCCTCTGTATAAATCCATGGTACGCCCATATCCCGAATACCGCATGCACATGAAGTCATCTCATTTCAGAGAAGATACCTTGGCACTGGAAAAAGTTAAGAAAAGAGCAACAAAAATGATTAGGGGTTTGGAATAGCTGCCATATGAGAAGAGATTAATAAGGCTCAGACTTTTCTGCTTGGAAAAGAGACAACTGAGCAGTGGGGAGGGTTATGAGAGAGGTCTATGACTGGTGTGGAGAAAGTGAATAAGGAAAAGTTATTTACTTGTTCCCACAACATAAGAAGTAGGGGTCACCAAATGAAATTAATAGGTAGCAGGTTGAAAACAAACAAATGGACGTTTTTCTTCAGGCAGCGCACAGTCAACCTATGGAGCTCCGTGCTAGAGGATGTTGTGAATACCAGGACTTCAACGGGGTTCAAAAAAGAACTAGATAAATTCATGGAGGTTAGGTCCATCAATACTTATTAGCCAGGATGGGTAGGAATGGTATCCCTGGCCTCTGACAGAGGCTGGGAATGTGTGACAGGGGAGGGATCATTCTGATAATTCCCTGTTCTGTTCATTCCCTCTGGGGCACCTGACATTGGCCCTTCCTGGCAGACAGGATACTGGGCTAGATACACCTTTGGTCTGACCCAGTACGGCCATTCTTATGTTCTTATGAAGTCAACTAGATGAGCTGCCAAAGTGCTACTGTAGCTTATAACTCACCTACAATATCTGACTAGTCCTGTGGAGGATGGGGCTTGGTTTTGTTTTGATTTTTTTTGGCTAGGGAATGGTGTCTCCACTTCATCTAAGAGCAGATGGGTTTTCTCCTTTTCTATTAAGTACCTCACATACTTGATCTCCCATACTTTCCTCTGGGCTGGCCTCCTTCAGCAACGCACTGTCCTGCAGATTTTAGCTGCACTCCAAACGATATGAGGCAGCTACATGCTCCCAAGGATGACAGGGAGAGGAGGTCCACAAACTGCTGAAAGGTGGCGAGGTGCCACATAAGACATCATTATGAATGGCTGGCTTCTCTTTGGACTTGGCCGCGAGGGGGAACCTGCCAGTGCCTTTTTGGCATGTCTAATAAAGTGATGTATTGTTCCTAAGCTGTTGAGCAGCTCATCCACCTACGGCACAGGAGAAGGATCGACCTGCAACATCTCATGCAATCTCCTGAAGTCTGCACTCAACTACCCAGGCATCTCTACCTTGGGGACCAAAATACTGGGGCTGCCCAAGGTCTGGGAAACTCCTACTTCAGTGTGAGGGCCCCCTTGTGGAGCTCCAAGGAAAGGGGAACCCTCAAGGGCCCTTCCCAGAGCCTCTTGCAGGTGGGACACCAGTTTAATCACCCAAACCTTTGGGGGAAGGATTTGTTTTTCCTGGTCAGAAATCGATTGCAGCCACGGAACAATAATCTCTGTGAATAGGAGCGCCCTAGCTCCAGTACTGACTCCACGTTCAGCTCCTCATTCCTAATGTAATTATGCTCGTGTTTAGCACTCGAAACACAAAAATATCAAGGGTCCAATTTTCTAAATACTTGGAAATAAAACTAGTAATTATTTCAAGAGCGAAGCACCACTCCACTTACAGTACAAGTTTTAGAGCATGATTTCTGCATCACTGGAGACTAGCATCTGACACATCCTCACTGCTTTGCTGTCTGCCCCACACCCTTCAGAGATTTGAAATAGGGCTACATTAATGCAAACTGAATCATTGTAGTTCCCACCAGCTAGGTCTAGACAGGGCAGGCAGATCACCCCTCAAATCACACCCCTCTAATCCGCTTTACCGTGCTGTATAGACAAGCCCTGAGGGACAGTGTATATGAAAGAGCCACATTCTGGCAATGAAATGGTTACAAGACGATGGGACTGGTGTTTTAATCTGTACTGCTTGAGAGGCAGGTGAGGCAATTAGTGCCTACAATGGCTTCTAATTCCCCTAGGACTGGGGCTATCTGTATGATAATTGGGACCTATGACCAGAATTAGTGAGCAAAGCCCCAGTGTTTGGATCCAATGGGCACCCCAAAATCTCAAAAGGGGAGCTGGAAATCTCACAGGATCTCTACATGCACTAGTGCAGCCAAGTCAGACATTCTGAAAGTAGAGCTTCTGTAGGTGGCATTCTGGTTCTGCTCCAGGCCCTGTCTGAAAGCGTGATTCTGAGGTGGGGTGATGAGCAAAACTTAACGATAGCCTCATGTTGACAAACCCGAGAAAGTGTGCAGTGGGCTTTGTTCTGCGTGGGAATGTCCTAGCTGCCTTAACGATAGCCTCATGTTGACAAACCCGAGAAAGTATGCGGTGGGCTTTGTTCTGTGTGGGAACGTCCTAGCTGCTGAAAGGTGTTGGTTTGCCAGCCCTGCAGACTGTGGCCCTTCATCCCCAGTCTGTCTCTAGCCTCAAACCTGCTTTGACCAGATGGATGCCCTCTCGGGACAAGAAAGAAATCCAACTGGTACAGCTCTGCTGTTGAGTCTGACCAGATGGATGCCCTCTCGGGACAAGAAAGAAATCCAACTGGCACAGTTCTTTGTTGAGTCTTCTGACCCCGTCTGCTGCAAGCTGGACTGGGCATGCCCAACTCATGTTTACCTAAGCCATTAAGTAGCCACTGGACGGCTTCAAAGTGGTGGCCAGGTTCTGCAGTCCTGTCCTGTCTGCCCTCAGCAGTCAGCTCACACTTACCTCAGGAACTTATTCAGGTCCCCATGCTTCATGTATTCAAAGACCATGATGAGAGGGTCCCCGTCGCCACAGACCCCATAGAACTTGACGATGTGCTCGTGCTGCAGGTTGGTGAGCAGCTCTGCCTCCCTCTGGAAATCCTTGCGGGCTGCCAGCGTGGGGTCTTTCAGAGCCTGGAAAAAGGAGCACACCAACAGGATTGGGGGGCGTGAGTCACAATGACAAGACTTGGTCTCTCCAGTGATTGGGTCCTGGGGCCAGAGGATTCTGCCAAGTGATACTGGCTGTTACATGAGGATCTCAAAGCACTTTACAAACAGGTACAAATTAAGCTTCATCGCCTAAGCAGGTTCATTATTCCCATTTTATTGACAGATGGTGAGGAAACATGAGATGTCCTAGGCCACAAAGTGAGTCAGTGGCAGAGCTGGGAAGAGGACCCTGAAGTGTGGGCTCTAATTCCACACGCTGCACTGAGCTAACCCTCTCCTGAAAGCTGGAGCAGGAGGACACGGAGCGGGACATCCAAGAGTGCCTGTGGAGGAAGAGCTGGGATACCACTGCCTGAATCTGTTGAGTAAATCTGCAGAGAGAGCAGATGGGAAAAGAAGCTAGAGAATGTTACAAGGAGACCTTTTGGGACATTTATAGGAGCTGCCCTCTTTGCATTAAGTGCGCAGTTCCCGTCCCTACAATGTAGTTTGGGTATGGTTTTTACCTGGGACAGGGCCCAAGAAAGTTCTGTTTTTTTGGAGGAGTAGCTTGCCTTCCCTACCATTATACTACAGTGTCTTACTAACAGGTGCAGGAAACATCAAAGGTCTCTTCACATACCTGCAACAAGGAGAGAGAATCTGCCCCATTCCTGC